TATTTGGTTAATATTATGAATGAATCAAATGTGGGATTAAATCAAATCAATTGAAAACTAATTAATTATGAAGTGTTTGTGAATTGAAGTCCACGTGTGCTCTCATCAGTCCATCAGTTGTCTCCCACACCATTCACATACATCGTGTCAATGCCCCCTAAATATTACACTATATACGAATGGACCCCTTATATAATCTCAGCTGTTATCACATTGTTGTCATTTTAAATGAACCCATACACATATAACGTGACACTTTTTCATTCAACATATTTAATATTTATAATGATTTGTTATAAAATGTACATCACATTAATGCCAAACCCTGTGACACGTTATATACGGATGCGTTGAGAATAGTAACGTTAAATTTAGTAAAAGTGTGAACTAATGAGCGATTGATTGCATAATTAGTTTGTAATACAAATGTTGTGATCGTTTGATATATCGGGTGAAGAGATGTCCAAAAGTGGTTCAAAGCCGAGGGATGTGTTTGTCTTCGAGAGAGTCGAGACATTGAAAGCAAATGAATCCAAATATATTAAACCGCATAGAATTCACTATAAAATGGTATTCATTATAATAATTGATTGTTAATTATAATTAACACTAATATTACAGTCATTATAACCCAAACTCTTCATATGTCTGTCCCTCCACTCTATGTCTAACTATTGGACATAATTTCATATTTACATGTTTATTAGATTTAGTGTTTGTATGAATAGCCGGTAATAACCGGCGTAAACGATATGCCCCATAATATTGCCCTTTTTAAGTGTGCACTTGTTTTGACACAAATACTAATATTGATTATGCTTTTGTGTGCAGAACGGGAAGGATCTGATCTGGGATTGTATGAAAATACACGACAGGTTTGTCCAACACTTGACCCGCCTTTCGATATACTCTTTTGATAACCATTACATTTAGTGTCGCAATCCTTGTATATAACCGGACGTCAAAGAAGTTGGTATTTGTGCGACAGTTGCGTCCGGCGATAGTCTTCGCGCAATTGTGTCAAAGTATTGATTCAATTGATTTGAATGTCTTCTCCAAAGAAAACATTCATAAAGTGAACCAAATGTTTGAAAAGAATCCAAACTATGGGAGACAACTGATGGACTGATGAGAGCACACGTGGACTTCAATTCACAAACACTTCATAATTAATTAGTTTTCAATTGATTTGATTTAATCCCACATTTGATTCATTCATAATATTAACCAAATATGAAATCAGCGGTCATTTTGTCAGTCATTTGTTGCCTCATATGGACTGTGGTTTGCGATGAGAGCGAAGCCCTCGAAGAGCTCAAAGTGGAAGTGCTGTTCAAACCGGAGGAATGCAGCCGTAAGTCAGCCAAAGGAGACATGCTTTCGATGCACTATAAGGGCACTCTCGAGGACGGCAAAGAGTTTGACTCCAGGTTAGCATCACTTCCTATGCCATTGTCTATGTCTGGTGTCTATACTAATGAATGGTCTGTCTATCGCTGTCTAGCATTCCTCGCGGCGAACCGTTTAAGTTTCAGTTAGGAATCGGTCAAGTGATCAAAGGCTGGGACCAGGGATTGCTCGACATGTGTCCGACGGAGAAGCGAAAGCTGACCATTCCGTCACATTTGGGTTACGGCGACGCCGGCGCTGGCGATCGCATACCACCGAAGGCTACGCTTGTGTTTGAAGTGGAGTGCATTGCCGTCGAAGACGGACCGACGCCCGTCAATGTCTTCAAAGAGATCGACGCCAACGACGACAACCAACTCTCTCGCGAAGAGGTAATTGTGTTGAATGAATGCCTCAAATGATTGCATATTTGATGTGATTATGTGTGACATCAGGTGAGCGGATACTTGAAGAAGCAAATGCCGGAAGCGGCCAAAGCGGGCGTCAAAGACCTTCCAGATCAGGACAAACTCGTGGAAGAGATCTTCCAACACGAAGATCAGGACAAGAATGGCTTCATATCGCACGAGGAGTTCAGTGGACCGAAACACGACGAGTTATAATGACATTCATTAGACGTTTTTTGACACTTAAAACTTAATTTTTAAGGCGTTTATAAAATAATTTTGTGAATTGTTGTGATATATAAGAAGTATAAATGAATGTGAAGTGCCTTTCCATTCACACCCCTTTCCCCTCTCTTTACTGACTAACCATTTATTTAATAATTTAATTTTTCAAATCTTTCTGAATGGATATCTGTTTACTCAACGGTTACAACAAAGCAATTAATTTAATATAATATTGGGTTTTAATTCATGGGTTATAATATGCCGTATCGTTAATGTCTGTCCCATTAATGTATGTTTTTTAAAATTGGAAAAAACATTTTTTATTTGTGAAAAATATTTTTTATATTAAGTTTTAATATCAAAGCGAATGAATGAATCAATCGATCGAGTCTTTCCATCACAAAACAAATGAAACAAAAAGCAATATTTATATCGATATTATTATATAATGTTTTAAATTAATAAATATTAATATAATTTAAAAATCTTTTTTCTTTGCCATAATATTTTAGAAAAACATTTCCTAAAATAGGGTTCAAATTTGATTACATTTATAAATATAACAGTCTTTAAGAAATAATCTATGAATTGATTTACATATGAATTGTACTAAATATTGAGAAAAAATTTAAGATTAAAATTAACACAAGACTTGTCAACAAAATATACCTTTAAGTTAACAATTGTTTTTGTCAGTGAAATCAGAGATAACTATTACATCGTTGTATCCGAACTCATGTCAGACACCAATGTATGAAATGTTGGCTCAATTTCATTATATTTATATTTAATTATATATATAATTAATTTATTACATAATTAGTTATCATTCGTCACATCCAACGATCGTTTTATTTGTTTTTTAATTATATAAAGATTACCATAAAATATGACGACAAGTATTCACATGTTTTTTAAAACAAGAAAAAAGTGCTAAAAAGAAACGTAAAAACTTTGAACTTTAAAATTATGCCAATTATCTAAAATCAATTGAGTTGACCTTAAAATAGGATTTAATTTAATTTATAATTTATGGATTAAATCATATGTCGTGTCATTATATCGTATAATGAAATGTCATCCAAGAGTGGGAGAGAGCGGGAGAATTTTAGAAAAACATTTCCTAAAATAGGGTTCAAATTTGATTACATTTATAAATATAACAGTCTTTAAGAAATAATCTATGAATTGATTTACATATGAATTGTACTAAATATTGAGAAAAAATTTAAAAGATTAAAATTAACACAAGACTTGTCAACAAAATATACCTTTAAGTTAACAATTGTTTTTGTCAGTGAAATCAGAGATAACTATTACATTGTTGTGACTCATGTCAGACACCAATGTATGAAATGTTGGCTCAATTTCATTATATTTATATTTAATTATATATAATTAATTTATTACATAATTAGTTATCATTCGTCACATCCAACGATCGTTTTATTAGTTTTTTTAAATTATATAAAGATTACCATAAAATATGACGACAAGTATTCACATGTTTTTTAAAACAAGAAAAAAGTGCTAAAAAGAAACGTAAAAACTTTGAACTTTAAAATTATGCCAAATATATCTAAAATCAATTGAGTTGACCTTAAAATAGGATTTAATTTAATTTATAATTTATGGATTAAATCATATGTCGTGTCATTATATCGTATAATGAAATGTCATCCAAGAGTGGGAGAGAGCGGGAGGGGAGGCGAAGGGGAGGGAGAGTACAAATGAAATGATAGTTTAATGACAGCGAATGTCAGACACACAATCACTTTAGTGTCCATTTATAACACAATAGAATTGATTACTTCATTAGAGGGGAATTGGATTTATCAATGGTTTGTATGTTTGAAACAATGTCTCATATCTTGAGGTCCTCCTGAGCGCCCAAATTAGCGATTGTTTTCTTAATCCTGAGAGCCGTGAGCCGAGCGGCCGCGTTGTGATACCAGCACTCCTTCATTATTTTCGACATTATTCTCAACGCCTGTAACATATAATACAGTCAATGAATGGCATCAATGAATAGCAATTCAATCAATAGTACTTCGCATGACTGCCAACGGTTGGGGATCTGAGGTCGTTGTCGATCAGTGCAAACAACTTTACGCATGTCCTCAATGGTCGGGTCGGAGGGAACCATATCATAGAATGGCAATTGATATTCTTCATGGATTCCTAAATACAAATACATTACGTAAATGCAATCAATGGTAGGGATAGTGAAGACAATACCTCCGACATTACATCGTCGAGAGATCTCCCAAATGCATAAACCGAATGAATAAATGTCAGCTCTTTTAAAGGAATCGAAATGATTTAAATTAATCGTTTCGTCCAACACTTCGGGCGCCAAATATCGTTTGGTGCCGACTCTGGGGTTGGGAGGGATGTCCACTGAATTGGTGGACGAGTCGAAACGCACGGCGAGTCCCAAGTCGGCGATAGCACACGTGCCGTTAGACTTGACCAGAATATTTTTCGACTTCAAGTCCCTGTGAGCGATGGCTGGCTTTCCCTGTGTTCCGCATATCTCCATATGCAAGTGCGCCAAACCATTGGCTATAGATGAGGCCATTTTGCACATCCCTGCCGTGTCGACAGTCATTTTACTCAAATAGTCAAACAGAGACCCGTTCTCGTGGTAATCAGTGATTAGCCACAACTGAGTCCACGTGCCGTTGTCTGCAAACACAACAAACAAATCAATCCAAGAGTTACCACAAATCAATATTGAGTTATTACAAACCTTTATTGTCGGCCGCAATAAATCCCAGAATATTCTCATTCCTCAACATCACTGTCTGGTAGATCTCCACTTCTCGAAACCACGAGCGCTCGTCTCGAGACGAGAATATCTTGACGGCCACTCCCTCTCCCCTCCATTTGCCTTTCCATACTTCACCAAACCTTCCCTTTCCGATGATTTCAATTAACTGTATTTGTCGAGCAATACTTCTTTGTACGAGAAGTGGTAAACCTATAGATATAATGTCAAACACATGTCACACAATGTTGTCCAACATAACAGTGAAATGAGTACAGACCTGATCCGGAGCCGGACGTGGTGTGATCTAAAAGATCTTTGAGTGTCTGTCCCCCTAATATAGGTATTAAGGGGTCTCTACTGGTTATACTCCCCTCGACGTCGTGAGGAAAGGGGTGTCTGATTTGTCTTCGTTGCCAAATGGAAAATGCAATCATAAATATGAAACAAATCAGACATATTGGAGATGCGATTATCAATGCCGTCTCTATTGTGCCCAAAGGCTGAGGTACATCCAATTCTGAACAATTCAAACACGTTGGTTAATATTCATTATTATCAAATCAATACATCGCAAACAATATAAGAATAAACTAAAATAAAACTAATTTCATAGACTAATGATTGCTTTATAATTCAGGCATTATGTGAAACACGGAAAGAATGAATGAATTTATTATTAAAAAAAACTATCGAATATCTTATTGAAGACAAACAAAATGTGTTAAAATAACAAAATTGTTGAGTCGATAGTGAAATTGAAACACAATTATGGGTTAACATTAATGAGCAAAAGGCATGACAACAGCAT